ACCAATCTATCCACAGGAGTGAGTATTCAAAGTTCCAACCCCAGAGGCGCAACACATCTGTTCGGGTAAGTCACAGCTAACACTTCGCATACTTTTTTTTATACCAAAACGTTCTCAAAATCATTTACAACCCCATTTCTAATATTAATCGATGATAATTGAAAACAAGAATCGACGTAGGACTTTGGACTTGTTATAGATCTTCCTTGAACAACATTTACAATCAGTGTTGTACTTTCCATCAACAGAATATCACCTAATTAAGATAAATAGAACAAATCACCTTCAAAGATCTTTATTAGTAAAATCATGATTTCGGGCTTAAATCAAGCTCGAATTGTAGCGTTTCTTTGCGGAAAGATCTTAAAATATGACTTTCTGTCGATCTGGATCTTCTTATCACAGAAATACCTCATAACTAAGGTAGTCACAATAAAGATCCCTAGTGATCTTCGTAGATCCTTCATATTTGTTTCAGGATGCAGAATCGTGGGCTCCGTTGTGCTTCCGGTTTGTCCCATCAGTATCCTTTGCTTTTCTGTTTTGGATGTGAAGGTTTCCGCTGGCATTCCTGATTTCCCCTCCCTGTTTGTCTAGAATCATTGGATGTTTCTTCGAGTTTTCTATGACTGGATTTGGGAGGAAGTTAAGGGTTCAGGGTACAGATTTTTTTCCGGATGGAATACTGCTTTCACTTCCTATTTTTTTGCTGCAGGATCCGGCAGGGAGGACTAGGGAACCGGTGGGAAATCACCGGACAGAAGCCGTTTCCAAACAGGTTCCGGAAGGATCTGGAGAACGGAATCATCGACCTGGGAACCATGAATTCCATCGAATTTTAATATTTTTGATAATTCAAAAGAGGCGAGCTACTTTGCAAAAATTCTGCAGATATACGATGTTTACGAAGAGGAAGCTGCAAGAAAAACTGACTACTTTGTGGGTGTGGGCGTAGCTTCTCTCTCTATTGATAACCACACCCACACTCATATTAATGTTTCTATATATGATTGTCCCAACTAAAATGAGTTATACTCTTCAGAAAATTTCACATCTCTCTTTTACATATTCAATAAATAGATTATTTTCTTTGGTGAATATCATTTTACTAAAATCCTATCGAAATCTCAGCAATTACGAATGTTTTCAAGCTTTTGATCATGTTCACCCAGAAAGAATAAAGACAAAGCAACTAGTAATAGAATTAGATATTCAAATATCAGAAAATAGATTCTTCTTTTAATATTCGTCTTGTCAAATAATTTACCCGATAAAATTTATTTTTTGAGTGCATCTATAGAATAAAAATAATGAAGAAATTTAATCTGCTAGATTCATAAGATGCAGTACTTCTTAGAATGTAAGCTGTCTGTTGTACGATTAAAACAACGATCAATATCCGATGAAAGATGCAATGTTACATCTATCTATCAGTATACTCAACAAGTCTGTTATACATAATTATAAGTCAACGAAGAAGTATATAGACTGTTATTTTCTCTACTATTATTTGTCAGTTATCAATAGAGAGTTACACAGAGAGTGAGAAAATCAAGGCTCAAACTCTAGAAATATACTACTGATGTAATATTCGATTTTATAGAAAACTATCCAAAGGAAAGAATTTGCAAAGTTAATGCATTACTTCTCTATTACATCAAATTCGGAGAATGTTTATTCTTTCAAACAGACATCATTGAATATGTGTAGTCTAAAAATATATGCAAAAAATAGTAATTCAAGTTGCTGTTACTACATATGCGCAGTAGTTTTCGGAGGAAAGCTATTATTGAATACAGTATGGAATTCTAATTTTATATTCGAATCAATAATAGTTTTCTTAGTTCTGCTGTTAATAGACAATGCATATGACCTGACTTGCTTTTAGTTTAAAATATTGTCAAAGAATTTTTTTTGGTGAATCAAGAAGAGTAAAATGATCGATGTGAAGCTACCACAGCACGATCTGCCAGGACGATCGCGCTAACGATTTCATTGGTTCAGCAAAACAAACCAATCAAATTTTTTATTATAGTGGGCCCCTCTTCGTGGTGCGGACTAATGTACATGAGTGAATTTCCAACAAAACACAAAAGAACTATCCAGTACAGTGCTAGTTCTCTCCCGGCTTACAAAGGAAGAGGGAGAAAGCGCCCAAATACTGCAAAATCTTGCTATTTCCAAAGATCCAACACCCTCTGACAGTCTCCCTTCGTTTACCGGGGGCTGTATTATACATCAATCGATGCCTTTTAAAAAGGGCTATCCACTACATTGATTGTTCCTTCCCGGTCAAACGAAAGGTGGCTCGCAGATGCTGTTTTATCGGTCAAACCAGCTAGACTTTGCAGTTTTAGGGCA